TACCGGCTCTTCCGTCCCTGGCTCGAGCCGCCCCCGCCGCCGCTCCCCGCGCCCCCGCCGCCGCCGCCCCCGCCGCCGCGGTACGGCCACTTGGCGCGCTCCAGGCCGTAGTCGCGGAAGGCCACCTCGCGCACGGGCTGGACGTGCGGCGCCAGGTTGGACGAGTAGGGGAAAGCCATCTGGCAGGAGGGCGGCTGCGACAGGAACGACGGCTTCCCCGCGAAGTCCGACGGGGCCACGTAGTAGGCGCAGCCCGGCAGGTACATGCTGGCTGCGCTCGGGCCGCACTCGTCAAAGTCGCTCATGGCTGCGCGCCGTGCGCGCCCGCCAGCCCCGGGCCGCTCCCGGCGCCTCCGACCTGAGCCATCGATTGCACAAGACGCTTGGGCCAGGATCAACTAAGCAAAAATCCCCACCGGGCGCTGACGTGCAATTCATCTTGATTGATTCGGGTGGTAATTGTGTCACGTGACGCCATGGAGAGGAGAAATGTCCTTATATCTCTAGCAGGCGCTCCTCCAACACGCCCCGGGACGGCTCCCGGCGCCGGGACGCGCGCGCGCCGGGGGCGCCTGGGCCTCGGGCCCCCGCCAGCCCTCCCGGGGCGCTCCCTGGCCGGTCACCTGCGCGCCGCCGGCGGCCGCCACCGCTGGGCGCATCTGCCGCCACCGGACTGGGCCGCCCGCCCGCCCTAGCCCGCCCGCGCCGCTTTAAGTACCCGGACCTAGGCCGGAGGGGAGGAGGCGGGCGGGAGGAGGGGGAGGAAGGGGGAAGGGAGAGGCGCGGAGGGCGGCGGGGGGAGCCCCGGCCCCGGCGCGGGGGGGGGGGACTAGGTGTGAGGGTGTGAGCTTCCCACCCCCACCTTGCCCGCAGGCGCTCCCTCCCCCGCCGCCCGCCGCCCTCCGCAGCTCACCGGCTCGGGAGCTTGTTGCTTCTCGTTCAAGGGGCGGAATTGCGACACCCTCCGGGGCGCCGGGAGCCCTGATTTACATATTTCTCTGCAGAGCGCGTTCCGGCTGGGAGCGATTTGGCTCTCTCGGGTTCTGACACCAGAGACGAGAGCACAGACCCTAGAGAAACGACTCCCGGGCGCGAGGCTCGGCGTGGGCCTCGGCGCCCACTCGGCCCTTTCCCTTCCAGGGATTTTTTCGCTCTGTTCCCATCCCTCCTTCCTTTGCTTGCTCTTCTCTCCTCTCCTTTCTCTCTCCTGCCTTCCTCTTCTCCTTCGTCCCGCTTTTGCTCCCTTCCCGTCTTTCTAAGTACCTTCACCATTTTCTCCTCTCTCTCTCTCTCTCTCTCTCTCTGTCTCTGTCTCTCTGTCTCAGAGGTCCTGGTTTCCTGGATTTCCTCAAAGGTCGGGGGCCTGATGAACAAAAGGATTTGAAGTCCTAACCCTCACAACACAAGGGCCCTACTCACCACCCACAGACAAACCCCTGGTGTTCTCGCCCTCCTCATCCTCCTCTGTGTTCGGGTCCCTCAGAGCTTTCGGTGTATTGGAGCCCCATCGAGGCCTCAGCAATTCCCTCAGCCGCATCCCTAAGACTCCTTTGGAGCCCTTGGGTTTGATGGTCATAACAACTGCCAAGGAGATCCTTTGGTTCTCCAAGGACTCTCGGTAGCGTCTGCCTGACCTCTGGGGTCTGTCTGCATCACCTGGCTCCGCCGAGGTAGACTTTTCAGGCTCCCTCCACAGCTTGCGCCAAGGCCTTACTTTCTTTCGGCTGCACCAATCCTCCCAGGCCTGGGCTCCCACCTCCAGCATACCAAACCCTTAGTCTCTCCCGGATCCAAACTCCAGAGCCAAAGGCGGCAGCCTGCCTCCCTCTGCAGTATTTCCCTGCCCAGAAAAGCCAGCCCAGAGGCCTGGGCTTCAGCCTTGAGGCCTGGGTAGGCAGCTCTGGCTGTGCGCTGGCTCCCTCCCTCTCTCCAGGCCGCTGCAGTTTGGGTACTGAGCCCTTTGCCCACCGAGCCGATTGACAGAGAAAAGGCGCGTGGTCCGGGTTAATATCTCTTTTCTAGCTGATGTCTCCCCTTCCACTTTTCCTACCCTCTTCTTTCTCCATTCCTCTCTTTCCTCCGCCCCCTCCCATGTCCGCTTCCCTCCCCCACAACACTGCGCACATAGGTCTGTGGCAGTGGTGACCGGAGCTCACCAGGCTTTCTCTCTCTCTCTCTCTCTCTCTCTCTCTCTCTCTCTCTCACCTAGATGTCCATCCTCTGCGACCCCTCCTTGAAACTCCCACCCCCACCCAGATCCCTGCTGGCGCCGCTCTCCTAGCCCAGAGCCCCGACACCGTATTTTCATCCGCTTCCCCATCTCCGTCCCAGTCCACAAGCGTATCCCTTTCCGAATCCTGGTCGACGCCCCTGGATCTGTCTCCTAAAATGGCTCCCCAGACACTGCACAGCATTCCCGGGGTCGCTCAGAACCGAAGGCGGCGGAGGCCCCCCACCCCCCAATCCTTGCACATCTTGAGACGCAAAATAGTTCGGCACCTTCCCCCTGCTCACCCCACCGAATGGGTGGTAAGACAGACCGTCGCCCCTAAAGTGAGATCTGCTGGCTGCCGAAAAGGGAAATGGAAAGGAGGAACCATTCAAGTTCAACGACATGGCGACGGCAGCTGTGGCGGGAGCCGCGCTTCTGCAGGGGAGGGTGCGCCGGCCGCAGCAGCCAGCTCGCGCCCAGGGGAAGGGGCGATGCCCCCCCACTCCTCCTCCAGCACGGCCGCCCCCGCACAGCACCCAGAGCATTCATTCCCCGCCCAGCCCACCTCGCTCTGTAGCCCCAGCTCTCTGCTTTGGTCCTCACCCCGAAAAACTAGCCTCTGGACCAGCGAGTTCTGCTGGAGGAACCTACCGTGAAGACCCGGGCGTTGTGTCCTTGTCCTGGCTTCCTCGGTCCTACTCGAAACACCGGGAGCACGCCCGGCCTTCCGGGGCTCGGCCAGCAGCTCTCTGCGCAGCAGCGCGTAGACGCGATGCGGTAATTTTGAGCCACCCAAGATAAGACACTAACTTGACCTTAACTTTGTCAGCGCGCCCCTGGTATCTGGAGAACGTGAACAGACACTGTCTGGCAGCTCTCGTAAAAGCCGACTGGGGAAGGGATTCTGAGTCATTTCATTTATTACCACTACAGTTCTGCGAGAAAGCTTTTCCTCCCTGCCAAACTTTAATTATTTATGCTCTTTTAGGAAACGAAAGAAGAGAAGAGCGGGGCGGGGGGGGGGGGGGGGGGGAGAGGAAACTCCCAGAACCAGTCCCTTCCCTGCAGAGCCTTACGGAAAAGACTCCTTAAGTGGAGACTGAAAAACAAACCAAAACAAAACAGAACAAAATGTGGGGAGATCACCTTTGTCCAAGGACTGCTGGACGGGCGCTGTGCCCCCACCACCTCTGAGGGGAGTGGATGCAGCTGAGAGAGGCCAGTGAAGGGGGCACACCTCCCTCCCCCACCACCAGACATGAATATTTACAACGATTCTGGATTTCTCCTCCACTAGCTAGCATCCAGGAAGCCTCCCCTAGCCTGCCCTCCCAAGGGGAGAACCCCTGGGCCTTTAAAGCTTTCCTCCTTTGGCCTCCAGAGCTATCAACGGATTGAACAGCGGGGTAAACCGTTCTTTTTTTTTTTTTCTTTTTTCATTTTAAATCCTCTTTCTTAGTCAAGAGGCCGCGTGGACTGCAGCGTTTCAGAAGAAGCGTTTCTCTTTCTACGAGGGAAGGTTGAGCAATAAGATTGCAGTATCATTTCTCTTTGGCGTTTATTTCTCATCCTGGTTCCAAATTTCTGCCAGGACTTCCGTTAGGGAAGGGGACACCGTGGTCTTTGAATTTGTGTGGATCAGTAAAAAGGATGCATTTGGAAAACGCCGCCGGACTGACAGATAAGATTTTATACTTAGGTTAATTTTCTTCTGGGACTGGCCTCTAGGACTGTCCCCCCCCCCCCCCATCCCAGACTAAAGAAAAGAAACATGATGGTTTAGTATCATATCTGTCTAGGAAACTGGCCTGCATGTTTTTTTGTTTTCGGGTCTGGGGTCTGAGGAAGTCTGGTTTCTTCTTCCTTTCTCAGTCCTCTGAACCCAAGGTCTCGGTAAGGCTTCTGCCTTTGATAAGCCTTTGTTCAGTTGGTTTTGAGGAGAAAAACCTCTCAATACAGACCCCGGCTCCAGAAACCTGGCTCAGTACCACTCCCTCCCCACCCAGTCAGATGGGGACATTCTAGCCACAGGACCTTCACAAATTCTTCCTTCTTACCATCCAATTGTTGTAGGCCATTTTTTTAAATTGACAAAACAATGTTGTGTATAAATCAAATTTGTTTCCCAGAAAGGGAATTGGAACATTGAATATTCTTTATTAGAGATGCATTGGTCTTGCTTCTTCTTTCTCTAGTGAGGAACTACTTTCCACCTCCATGAGTTAGGAGTCAGGATTTTCAAAGGGGTTTAATATCAAGCAGGCCCTGGCTTTATTTGACTGAGCTATAGGCTCTAAAGGCAATAGGGTGGAATTCCCAAGGGAGCCTGCTGAACTCCTGGTGCCTAGAGAATCTTCCTAAGACTTTGTCCTGAGAAGGCTGACCAAAACTTGGCAGAGAGATGTTTTGTTTTGAAATCTGAGGACTCTCAACTCTTGTCTCTCCCTTCTCCGGCCAACAATAGCAAGATTTAAAGTTTGAGAATTTAGGAAAAATGGAGATTTCTCAATCTACAAACTCAGTGTTAGCTTTGCGTTTGAGATACACTCACATCACTCTAAAGACTTTTAATAGTCTCCCTTTGGATATTTCACAGATATTCTCTCCATAGTGTTTTTTTGTAACTGTTTCCTGACTGCCTCGGAAGCCATTTTTCTCATTTAATGAACAGCAAAGACCAGAGGCAAAGACACAAGCAGAGAAAAACAAAAAAGACGAAGCTGATGGCCTGAAAAAGATTACAAAAGAATTTAAAGCATCTTTAAGAATGAACATCAGCCCCCTAACAACTTGGCTGGGACCTGGATATTTATTTTCACTATGCAACTAATATATACAAGGAAATGTTATTTTACAAAATCAAAACAAAATATGCGTGGCAGCTGTCAGCACAGAAACTTACATTATTTAAAACGCCAACCAAGGTCAGTTGAGGTGAAGCTCAAGGGCCCGTGTGAGATGGCATTTAGGGTCCAGGTCCTGGAGACTTTCACTAAAGAAAAGCCATTGGGTTTGGGGAAGGAGTCATGAGCCTTCGGGGTGTTGCTAGGGATTGGGGGTGGGGCTTAAAGCTCAAAAGATGAGGCAAAGATG